AGGCCAAAGGTAGAAAAGAAAGAAAGGAGAAAGAAAAGATTCCAAAAAAGACAAACCAAACCACATTTCATAAATCAACCCTGTAAGTGAATCTTTCCCACAAAAGGTCTGGTTAAATCCTCTGAGGAGAGAATTCATCAAGGACCTCTCTCTCTCTCTCTCTCTCTCTCTCTCTCTCTCTCTCTCTCTCTCTAGAGATGGGTTTATGGAACCATCATGTGGAAGGCCAAAATTTGTGCTTTCAAGAACCTCCTTTCATTGAATGGCTGAAGCCACCTTCCTCATTTTCTTCATCATCATCTCCTTCTTTTTGCTTATCTGAGAATAGCACTACTATGCAATGCTTGCCTCTTTTAAGCAGGTTTACAGACACCAATCCGGTGAAAATAGAAGATGTTGGGGTGTAGAAAGAGGGTTTTGGAGTCAAAGAAGAGAAAATGGGGCAAGTTACAGTGGCCTTGCACATTAATTGGACTGCCTAATAGTACTAGTGAAGCTGATCAATCCGACACTCGCCATGAGAATAAGAAGGTTTTGGATCTCAAGGAAGAAGGAGTAGCCATGAGGAAGAGCTTTCATGGGTGCTCTTTTAATGCAGAGAGTAGGTTTTGGATACCAACACCTGCTCAGATTCTTGTTGGGCCGATGCAGTTTGTTTCCTCCATTTGCAGCAAGACCTTCAATAGGTACAATAACATGCAGGTTAGTTAATATTAATTATTCTTACCCATCATATATCTTTTGAACAAATTTTTGTGGGGGTTTTTAATTTCAGAACCTTAAACACTAATTTTCACCAAGAAATTAAACTACAACCTAATTGAAAAAAAAATATATCAAAGCAGAAAAGGGAAGTAAAAAAAAAAAAAAAAAACAGGATACCCTTTGTAGTGAAGTTTTTTAGAATCGTAACTTGTATAGTGGTGGAAGTAATTGAATATTGTTGAATTGCCACATATACAAATGGGCTTGATAAGTCAAACTAAAGAAGACGACTTTGTGTTGAAAACGAGACGACGACTTCCTTATAAACCCATGTCTAGTGATGGGTTCTGGAGCCGCTCTTATTTTGGATTGGTGTTCAATATTCATATCCAATCCATGATATATTTTAAGCCCATTAAACAATAGTTAGGATCTATGTCTATTTTAATTAAATATATCCAATCCAATCCCGCCCACCAAACGGGGCTTAAGTATTCTATATATAGAAGCTGCTAGGTTTTAGGTTAGGATATTGCCAAGACACAAATTTTTCACTTACAACTAGAGAGCTTAGTACAAGTGAAAAAAACAAAGGTCGCATTATGTAGCTCCCCCAGCCCCTAGTAGCAGCAATTCATGGCTCCAGCATTGTGCACTGTGCTGTGTGCATCCATCACAAACTCATGTCTCCATACATATATATATGTCATTTCATATCATTTTTCATTTTTATTTGTGTTTTGTACAAATTTAGAGCTACCCACAACTACTTTCTCGCCGTCATATATATTGCTACTATAAGCTTTCATAAAGTGATATGCCTATAAGCAAGGATTGAAATATTGGCCGATACACCGATATATCTGCCGATATATTGATATTTTCAACTATCGACACCGATACTGGGGGGTAAAGCCATATCTTCCCCTGTTTCGACAATATATCTCCGAAAAGTGCGATATCCCCGATATTTTGCCGATATCCCCGATATTTCCCAATACCCATAACAGAACCCAAAAAAAAATTCAGAAGTTTTGAAGGCAATTGAAGCAAATTGAAATCCAAAAATAGCTAATCCTTGCCTATAACCCTATAATTTATTTATATGAAGAATCTATGCACAGTCCACTACCCATATATCTCCAATCTATCTAAAGAGGACATGGCAATCAGTTTTGGATATATGAGCATAGGAACTAGACCTAGTACTAATTCAAATGAATCTTATGATGACTATGGTTATGTCATGTCTGATTATAGTGGAACTAGTTATAGAGCTCAAGATGATAAAACAGATTATGGACCTACTAGTTGGTTAGTCCTAACTATCCCATATATTGGAGGACAATAGGAGCTCAAGAGAGACCTATGTGCACCATGTTCAAATATGGCTTACAAACTGCTACAATTACATGACTTGGTATGACTATTGTATGAATCTAGATGGTTGTTCGTCATTATTTGAACCTCATAGGAGCTCTTCATTTATGTAGATGGGCACTTATCTAAATTGTAAACCAATGTTTAAACAAACTATGGCTTTATGCATGGTTTATTCATTCTAATTAACATTTTATTTTCAAACTTTTCATTAACACGCATTACATACCACTTGTATTTAATCATTTGTTCAATACATTCATTAATAATGTACATAACATCTATGAAAGTTTTACACCAAAATTATGTGTTTCAATGCATATATCTGTCATTTTTGTTGATTTTTTCCCGATACCTAAAATGATAACGATATATCCCCCGAAATATCTGTAAATTGGACGCCCGATATTATCTGCACGGCCGATATTTTAATCCTTGCCTATAAGTAATGTGCATTACTTCATAACCTTTTTAGTCTTATGACTTTCCCAGAAGTCGAATGTCTTTGTTTAGCTCCAAGAGAAATTGACATGCTGAGCTCATTTTAACACCTTGAATATGACTGGGAAGATGAATTGTTATTACAAATAATATTTCCTGCAACTTTTACTCAAAATTGGAATTATGTACAGAACAATTATTGCTTCATTCTAGAATAAGATTCACATACTACACAAAAGTCAATTACCATACCACAGTTCAAAAGACTAATTCAAACTGAAGTGAACCACCAAAATTTAGAGTAACGAGAGCTTAAATCAGGAAGGACCAGAGTGTACATGTACCAACTAAGCATGCACAGATGACAGATGATAAACAAAACGCATTAAAAGGTGAATGAAAATTTGTAACTAAATACAATGAAAAACTGAAATATTACAATTTACAAACTAATTTCTTCAGAAGACGTCCAGATAGAAATGCCATATTCCATCACCAATCTAAAGGAGGATGAGGAACAACCGACAGAGAAGCGGCTTCTGGTTTGGCCAAAATTGCAAATATCCCAAAAACCCTGTTATTTTGAGTTAAATTGATCAAGCTGGTATAATATGTACAAAATCATTTTTACAAAGGTGGGAGATGTGGATTTCTTTACCTGAATCTACTAAGAAACTCGATTTCTGGTACTACTTTATATCAGAATGAATAGATTATGCAGGGGATATAACCGCTGCACTGGTATAGATATAGCCATACATGAGTTTTGCAGTTCTTCAGCTAAATAAATATCTGCAGTTTTAACCCAATTTAAAAGTTAGTTAGCATTAGCCACTGAATATTTGATTAAATGTATTAACGTGAAAATTGTCAGAATTGAGCAATGTGACATGAGAGATTGACTTTCATTACCTGCAGTTTGGCTTCCTGCAACATTGAAGTCATATAGCTATTATTCTAGATAGCTGAAAACGAGACGATAACTTTTCCAATAAATCTTCAAGGGTTTATTTGAGTCCCTCTTTATTTTGATTCACAGAAAAGAGTAGGTGAACACAATGAATTTGTGTATCTTCTTTGCTTTAGAACATATAAGATCTTAAAGAGATTTATGTGTTTGAGACAACACCACTTTCCAGGATGGTGTAACTTGTTTCATGTGTTTTCTTTTGATCATATTCGACAGAAGTATTCACCAGATTCAACAGTAGTATCTCAAAAGAAATAAAATTTCCTTTCAAATCAGGATGCTAAAATGTTTAAACTGATAGTAGGTCAACACTGGGGGAACCTTTTCCTTGCTTAAAGATATCTGAATCTAAATATTAACAAGGTTGGATTGATAATTGAATAGTAGTTACTACTTGATTGACACACTCTTATGAATTAGTAACAGCAAGTTTGAAGTTATAAACAATAAGAAAAGTTTGTTCAGATATCTCAAAATAGGCATGCAATTTGGTAAGCATAGCAATGTAGTATCAGTTGTTTCTTCTTTTTTGGGTCAAAAGCAAGTAAAAAGCACAAGAGAAAGAGAACTAACCAGTTTAAACTTATGAGCAGAGACTGCAGAACAAGCACCAGATAATGCTAATAGGATCGATCAGACATGGCACATCATATCTGTTCTCCATCGATCATTATGTGACGGATGTGAGCAATCTTGGGCCAATCTTCACCTTTTTCTCTCTGACATCGTTGTTTTAGCAAAGGACAATAAAAGATTTCTAGAAGTGAAAGAGAAGTGGGCAGCCCTTCCTCTGGCAAGCTCTGGAGCTCAGGGCATCTCCGAATTGCCAAATATTTAAGACAGATGAGGTTTGTCAACCCATTTCCATCCATGGTCTTAAGATTCGAAAAAGTGGAGATGGAGAGAGAGCTGAGAGTAGTTGGCAGTAGCCCCTCCTCTGGAAATGAATCTACTTCTCCACATTCATTGAAGTCAACTCTTAAGTCTCGGAGAGAGGTGAGTCTTCCAAGATCCCACTGCATACGATTTGCAATCAGTTTTCTGCAAGACTCAATCCGCAGTGATTTTAACTTCGATGGCAATCCCCCGTCTGGAAAAGATTCCAGTTCTGGACATTCTGTTATGTCCATGGACTGAAGAGATGGGAGAAGGGTGTGCATATGTTCTGGTAGTGACCTCAATTTCTTGCAGCGACAGATATTTATATTCGTCAAGTTTGGTGCATGTAGCCCTCCTTCAGGAAAACAAACAAAACTTGGGCAATATATATACAGGTACTCGAGGCATAGGAGTTTGCTGCATTCAGATTCTTGTGAAAGAGTGACACATTCTATATTAGTTCGACACAACACGAGCCTTTTAAGCTTTGGAAAGTAGTCCAAAGGTAATCTCCCACTTAGCTTAGGACAATTCCGCAGACGAAGCTCACAAAGATCAGGAAAAGCTCCACCTTCTTCATTACCTCCAACATAAGACCACTCTTGCCAATCTCGCATGTTTTCGAAGATCAAAACTTGCAGAGATCGAAATTGCTGGATTTCACTGCCATCATTACCAAAGAACTCAGCACCTATGGACACGACTCCATTTAACCCAATAATTTCAAGCTCTCTGAGAGAGGGCAGCATCCCAAGAGGTGGCAAGAAGTAACAATTTTTACAATTCAAAAGTCGAAGACAAACTAGGTTTGAGTAAGAACGATCGACTAACCAACCTGGAAATCTCGTACCCTCATAAGAAACAATGGTCAGTTCTTTTAGGTTCGTATGAGGTTGGAGGTTGTCGAGGACTTCTCTATCTTTTTGTGAATCCTCAGTATCGCCACCCCATTTCAAAACAAGTTGATTTAGATACTTCTTCTCCTTCATATTGGCCTCCAAAGCATCCCTGACATGGACAATGTTATGAAGCCCTGAAATACAAAGAGTTCCACGCAGACACCGAAGCTCCTTCAACTCTACAATGTCATCATACCCTGCAGTATTTTGGTCCAACACAAAGTCACTCAATGTTTGGAGATCCTGCAATTTGCCCATCTTTGGTGGCATCTTTCCTAATTTTGTTCCTCTGATATCAAGATGCCGCAAGTTGATTAGTCTTTCCAAGTTGGTTGGCAACTCAACAAGGCCTCGACAGTACGACAACAACAAAGTTTGCAAATTATACAAAGTACATGTTGTATTAGGTAACTTGCCTATCAAAGTGTAAGACAAGTCCAAGTGCCTAAGATGTTTCAGGTTACTAATTGAATTAGGCAAATTCCTAATGTTGTAGCCTGATAAATTTAGAACTCTTAAACATTGTAGTGTTGGAATTAAATCGTGCAGTATCTTGTCTGACATATAAAACTTTGCGACAATTGGACACGTTAGTGAAAATGGTAGGAAGGTGCGCAAATTCTTCGCCTCATATAAAGCCTCAAATTTCTCAAAACCATCACCATATGTTTTCATATACGAAAAATGACGAGTCTTACACTGAATGTCCAATGAGTCATTGTCCTCCAACCTCACACAAAAATCTCCACATACGAACTTCGCTAAGTCATTGATAAGGTCATGCATAGTGAAAACTGGTTGGTGATCAAATTCGCCTTGTGAATGTTGAAAAAATGACCTTGAGAGTAAATCATTGAAGTAGTCCTCTCCAACTTCTTCCATTGTTTTCTTGTTTTTGGATTGTAAGAGACCTTCAGCCATCCAAAGAAAAACCAGATTCGATTTTGTGAAAACATAATCTTTGGGAAATATCGAACAGTAGGCAAAACAACGCTTAAGATGCCGAGGCAGATAATGGTAGCTCAACCATAAAGCCGGCAGAATGTTGCTATCCTTATCTGACAACTGCCAGATATCGTTCTTCAGTATATTTTCCCATTCCTCTACGTTTGATTCAGAGCTTAAGATACCTCCAAGTGATTTTGCAGCTAAAGGAAGGCCTTTACACTTTCTAATAATCTGTCTTCCAATCACTTCAAGTTTTGGATTTCCACCAACTCTTCCACTTTTGAAGGCATGTCTTGCAAATAACAACCAACAATCTTCTTCGGATATTTGCATCAGATGGTGAGTTGGAAGAGTACCCATTACAGACGCAACGCTTGCATTGCGCGTCGTGACAATGATTTTACTTCCATGAGCTCCAGACTCAAATGGACGCCTCAAGACATCCCAATCGAAATATTTCTCATTCCAGACATCATCGAGAACAAAGAGAAACTTTTTCCCAGTCAAAGCTTCCTTGAGCTTAACCTGAAGCATATTTAGGTCCACGAGATCACAAGTTCGTGACATGATCATTGAGCCATAAATTGTTTGTGTCACTCTAACAACATCAAACTCTTCTGAAACACAAACCCACGCGTGGAGTTCAAAATGCTGCTTTACTCTAACGTTGTTGTATACGAGCTGAGCAAGAGTGGTCTTGCCGATCCCTCCCATGCCCACAATGGGAACCACACTTACTTTATTTTCAGTCACATCATCTAATAATAATTTGATGATAGTTTCTTTGTCCTCATCCCTTCCATATGGAGTGAAGTCGTCAACCAAAGAAGTTGAAGGTATTATTTGTGATGCTCTCCGTCTTGCTCCTGCTTTCAAATTAAGAACATCTTTTTTCTTTTCAATGAATTCCAGTCTCTCAATGATTTCTTCTATCTTGGAGTCAATTGCTTTGTCAATGGCATAAAACCATGGAGAGAAGAGCTTTTTGTTGAGTTTTCGGAACATCTGTTTTTTTTTTTTTTTTTTAATCAAGTAAAAACTTCATTAGATAAACTTCAGTGGTACAATCAAAAACATCAACAAGACATCTAAAATACTAATCACAAAACGGTAACAAACTAACATGCTAAAAGCAAACAAAAGCAGCGTTAGTTCACCAACAACAAATTAATAATTTTAAAGCTAATTAAATATTTAATTGAAGTTAATTTCTTTTCAATTTTGGAATAGAGATACACATAAATGTCCTAGGAACATATTCATTCCCTAGTATACAGAAATCTCTCTCTCTCTCTCTCTCTCTCTCTCTCTCTCTCTCTCTCTCTCTCTCTCTCTATATATATATATATATAACAAAATGTCCTTATTTAAGAAAAAAATTTCAAAACACAACTACTTAATGGATTAAAAAAAAAGTATATTCAAATGCAAATAATTGAAAATAAAAGAAATAAAAGTTCATGCAAATAAAAAAAAGTATATATATATGTATATAGTCAATAAAAACTTTAAATATCATTTTTCTTAAAATCCCCACAATCTGTACCTTACTAGTGCTGCTTCCATATTCAGCCTCCACCTTGCACCTCAAGGCTTCTGTCTTAATCTCGTTCAACAGATCCTGAGCATCATAGACTGCCTCCTTAAGCTCTTCGAGCCATTGCTTCACATCTTGGTTACTTATTTGCTTCTCCTCAGCATCATCAAGAACAGCATTCACAGACAACAAAGTGATCTTCAACTTCTTCAGCAAACCCTCAGTGAGTTTCCTTCCCTGGATGAAATCAAGCACCTCCTTTGAAAGCATCTTCCCGAACACTTCCTCTAGCAAAGCCTCTGCAAAAGCTCCCGCCACAATCTCCATGGTGTTAACTTCTTCTTTTCTATATGGAATTCAGAGTTGAGAGAGAGAAGGTATTATTCTGTGAACAGGAGTTAGTAGAATAACTAAAGCTTAGAATAACAAGTTTATATGAGTATATATTTTGATGAAGCTGAGATAAATAACAATGGACGACTCATAAATCGTTGAAAGTGAAGTAAAGTTAAGCTATTTATATGGGAATCTGGACTATATATGTAATGTCATTATTTTTTTTCTCTCTCCTTTTGCTTTTGATAAAGGCAGATGCTTTCAAAAATATATTGGAGAAAGAAAGCAAAAGGGCCATTTGGTTTCCCATTTTCTCCCCGTCAATTATTAATTTATTATGAGGAAACCATATAACAACAATGTTAGTGGGACCGCAAATTCCTTCTTATTTTTTCTCCGCTTCACTTTTTGACAAAGCTAACGCAGGAAACTTATTAACAATGTAGCACTGAAAGAACCCTTTCAGATAAAAAAATCAGATATTTTCAAAAAGATTCCACTTTCACTATTTTTACACTCTCCTCAATCATGTAATTCATGCTTCATTCCATACATCTCTATGACTCTCATGTAATGGAAATAACACTTTTTATTGTTCTTAGCCAATAACGCAATGACACATAGAATTAACTTTTTCACATGTCATTGTGTTATTGATCTGAAATAACAAAACAGTGTTATCCCCGTTATATATAAATTTTTTAGGTCTTGTAAACTAAACTCCACCACCAGTCAGTGCGTCATTTTATTTTTCTACAAAATGGAAAGACAGAAATATTAAAATTAATCAGTTGAGTTGGATATCATAACAATAATTATATTAGGCTTTACTTAAATCTGCTTTGTTGTTAACATCCCTTCCTAGTGTCATGAAAGGGTCAAGTTTATCCATTATATATCAACTTTTCTAACACTAGAAGTAAAAATAGGGACTTTCTAAGAAGGACTTTGTCTAGTACGTGTGATTACTTTACCATAATAAAAAGTAAATGTAACTATATAAGACCATGTTTTCCTATGTGTGATCATCTCCTGTCCAAAATCTGCCAAAGCATACAAACTTTTGCTCCTTCAACAATCCAAATTACAAAATAAAAAGAAAACAGCACTACAAGTTACAACCGTAATTCAGACCAAGAAATTTTCAGAACCTAGAAAGTGAAAGATAATAGCTAAAGGCCATGATGAGAGTCTCAAATTACATCTTTTTAATATTATTTTGAAGACTTTATGATATAATTTTAGCTTAATAAATATAATTTCACTTGTTGTTACATTTTATTCTCACCAATTGAACTTATGAGATGAATTTATCTTTTGCAGGAAGTTGGAAAGCCAAAAGATGAAGATATATATTTGTCCAAGTTCAAGCAAGTGTGAAAAGAATTGCTAGCAAATTTTATTGAAGAATTGATTGTGGGATTATTGTGATTATAAAGAGAAGTAAAGAGGGAGAAGAGAAAACAAAACCGTTGAAGCTAAAGAGCCTATTTCATGTCATTCATAGCCATTTAATGCCTACTACCTCACCGTTATTTCTTTTCCACTAACTCTCCACCATCAACGAATGTTTAATCCAATTAATCCCTCACTTAAACCCTTCATTATCCACCATGAATGTATTAACTTTCCACTCACCTCATTGACCACTATAAAAAAACCCATCAACTCATTTGGCAAAGGGACACTACGACAGATTTCTTTATCCATTTCATTTAAAATTTAGTTTATGATTTCCTTTGTAATGAGTTGCTAGAACTCTAGCTAAGGCTAAAGGAAATATTCTTTGAGTAAGTTTGTGAATTGTTCTTTAATCCAATATACGGTATGAATTGCTAAATTCTTTTATTCTTGGTTGTTCAATATTTTCATATCCTTTTATTTTGATTGATGTTAAGTGCTACTATCTTTTCATGAGTTCAATTATATTTTTCTCATTGTTAAGAATTGACTTAGCATGCTTTAAAATTAAAAGAGTAGATATTAAGCAATTCCATTTTCTGAACAATAATTAAAAAAAAAATAACATTGAAAAATTAAATTAGTTTTAATTTCTTTATCTTCCGGTTAAAGTTTCTCAATGATAATTTTAATCGAGTTATAATTTGGATTAAAGAGCACGAAACATATTTTGCTTAAAGAATTGAACCTTGATGCCTTAGCATTTCCATTATTAATATTTTATTTTTAAACTCAATTTCCACAAAAATCAAATCAAATTACTTTTCCATTTTGCTTGTCACTTTTATTGTGGTGCGTTTAATTATTTCTATGTGCAGATATTTGCCTACCTGCTCCTTGAGAATATGATACTTGGACTTCAAATATTATTACTACGTGTGACTACTTGCACTTAGGTAGACGCAACAGGCCACAAGAATATGTAGTGGTTGTGTTATTATATTATTCATAATTAACGTGAGTTACATCATATCACAAGTGTAGAGAAAACGGTTAGAGATATAACATTATCAGATAATGAGAGGTGATTTACAAAGAATTAAGCAAGTGTTGCAAAGAATTAAGCAAGTGATAAATAGAGGATAATAACAAATGATAAGCTTTTAACGCCTATATGTAGGGGTGGACAGAATTCGATTCAGTCTTGTTTTTACCTAAAATCGAAATCAGTACTATTCATCCAATTCGATTTTTAGTCCAAATTGGAGAAAAATCGAACCAAACCAAATTGCCAAGGAACAATTTGGTTTTCCAATTTTTTCAGTTTACTTCATTTTTTTTTTGTTGGGCTTCAATATCTATAACATTTAAGGCAAATTGGGCCTAAAGTTTTTCTTTCACATTTATACTGGGCCTAAAGTTAGTAGAATCCAAAAGGGAGGCATGATTAGCATACCGAAGATTGGGCTTAAGAAATAGTTTTAGCCCGTGTTACCATAGAATAAGCAGGAAGAGGTTGAACCTAGGGAATGAGTTGCACGTGATGGATGTCTTGAGGAATTTGGTGAAACTAGCGCGACAACAAGGGGAATGGGTGAGGGAAGGGTGAGGGAAAGGTGAGGATGTGATGATGGGTCACAATGCAAAGATAAGTAGTATTAGACCAAGATCTAGTTGGTAATATTGTTAAGTTTGTTAATTGGTTGGTCCTCAAAGTAGCATATGCTTAACTTTCAAAATTCAGGGTTTAGGTTAAAAATGAGCTAAAACCTCAAACATGAGGTCTGACAACTTCATCCATTTCTTTTAACATCACTTCAGTCAAAACTTCTACAATGTAACTAATGGCATGTTTACTTATTTAGAAATGAGGCAATGATGAATCAGAAAAGTTATGAATATGGAAGAGAATGAATTGGAATTTGATCAGCTATTACTCTCAATCAATTATGTTGGATGGGCTGCCGTGCCCTCCTAGTTAATCTTTGTAAGGTCTCAATCTGAGTGGGGATAAGCTTCATGCTGGTCTCTCTTGAGTCTTGTCTTGTTTTTCCTTTCTCAGTCTGTGTGGGTTGGGCTTTTGCCTTCTTTTGCATGGTGGTCTGTATTTGGATTCTGATTCAATGATCATTTCACCTTTTTTACCACAAAAAAAAAAAATCATAATCAACTACTACTCTCATGTGCTCCACATATCGTGACGTGGAGCGCATGAGAAATTAGAAATCGGAATAATTCTAATACGCATGTGTTAGAATGTCATATGCACTTAACGAGAATCGCGAAAGTGGGGAATTGACGAACTTAGGAATAGGGAAAGTAAGGAATTAGGAATAGGGAAAATAAGGAATTGTTTATTTACCGCATGGAATCATAATAGGGATAGTTGATTCCCATTATTTGTACTTATTAACTCTCATGAATTGGAAGCTAAACCAAGTTTTGGAAGGCAATATAAGAGGAAAAAAAATGTAGTTGATTTAGTTCCTTGTTTTGAGGGTATTGGATTACGGAATTAAGGTGGGATTAACTTTTTTTATTTATGGATTCATCATGTATTTGTAAACGTCTGAGAAATTCATGAACTGAAATAATTTTTTTTCTTTTCATACACATTCCTAATAAGTAAACATGACATAAATAGTAAAAAATATGAATAATTCCAATAATCATCCCAACATAACCCCTATAAATAAACATGCCATAAGTGCGAGTGAATGTAAGGAAATGACATCGGAATTAGTTAGGTTTAAAAAATTTATCCCTATATAAACGAAGATACGTATGCAATTCTCCTCCAATATCACTTGTATATAAAATAAAATAAAAAATAAAATAAAAATTAGCATGCGTTGAATGTAGCATGAAACCCAAAAAGGAAAAAAGAGGTAAGAGTCGGTTTTGGGCCCTTTGGCTGGGGGCAACGGGAATCTTTCAAGCGCCCTTGGCTTATAATGGTTTTCAGAACATGCCAAGGGCCATCCTTTTATCATTTCTTAATGAAACACAGTCCAACAATACACTCTCTCTGTCCTATATATATAGGGCTTAGTTACTGTGACCCCTCAGCCTCGCTTTCTCCGATCTCAGCCGAAATAAAAACATCCCCCCTCAGTCTTCATCAACTCTCTCATCCTCCCTCTCCAACCCATCTCACTCCGTAAGCTATCTCTCTCTCTCAGTCTTTCTCTTTCCATGTTTAATATGTGCGCATGTCATGGGTTTTTTTTTGGTCAGTATATGCATGTCATATTGATCTGTGGTTTTTGAGATTAAATCAGGTTGTTTATTTGTTTAACAGCTGATCAGTCTTCTCCCTTTGGTTTTTGGTTTTTGGGTTTTGTTGTGAGGGTTTGTGTTGTGGGTTTTGTGTTTTTGCTTTTGGGTTGTATGTTTTTGCGTGTGACATATATAGAAAAATGAAGATCAGGACTGAATTGATCCTCGGTTTTCAGAATTTGTTTTTCTGAAATCTGAAACAGAAATGAAAAGTTGGAAACAGCATAGATTCTGTTTTTTTTTTTGGTGTCTTTGAAAGCACCTTCTTTTATGAACCAAAGCTCGTTTTGCCTTCTTTTTTTTCCCTTTCTTGCTCGTTTTGCAAACAATCTTTGTTGGAATTTTAGTTTTTATTGTCAGGATGTATGTCTTGAACTTAGAATTAGATTCTGATTACCCCCAAATGGTAAAATGTGACCTATTTGGCTGAAGTTGCTGGGTTTTGACGCACTTTGTAATTTGGTGAAGCTAAATGGGTTCTCATGTTATTGGCTTTTGTATAATCTGGTTGATTATTGTTTGGTATGACTCATAGATTAGTTAACTGATCTGACTTTGGTTTTAGAGCTATTTGCGTTTTCACCCTTAATCTTCCAAAATTTACTGATCTGATTTTTGTTCTGGTGTGAACATCTTGAAATTTTAAATTTAAGTATGTTTATGTTTTGCATGTTTTCCAATGGTCAATTACAGCATCTGGTTGAAAAGTTAAAACATGTATGCCACTTCATATTTAATTATTGTTAACTTTCTGTAATGTTAGCTTTATTGTGAACTTTACTTTTGTATTTGTCTCCTTTCCTACATTTGAAATAATTTTGGTCACTACCAGAATAACCACAGACAATAATGAAATAAAATTTGCTTGATGAATTCAGTAGGGGGTCATACAAGGTCAAATAGAATACGAAGAAGTTGATTGACCCGTTTATATCATATGAATACTTGTGAGAGGCGTGTCACAATTTTCAGTTGTGGGCTTGGATGCTAGATGCACACTTTTTCTCGGGATTGTTTATTGTTTATCTTTTTGTGGAATTTTCATAGGTCATGTTGGATGGTGTATATTGTTTTGTTTTGGATCATTTAGTGTTATAACTTGTTTTGTGGTTACACTTCTAGTTTTAGACCAATAATTTAGTTATTCTTCACGGATTAAAGTAACCATCTGTATATGCTATCTAACCAAAACGGAGCCTCGAGTGAAGAGCATAGAGCCATGAGCTTGCTTCTTCTCATAGTGCTCCGGACATTGACTGCCTTTGTGTTTCAGAGGGGATGGTTTTGTTCCATCTTTTCATGAATTTTTCAGAAGCGTACAAGTGATGTCCCTATCTTATTCAGCTGTGTTGTTAGAGACCTGAAATGAAATTCAAGTTAATCTATATGGAGAATAATGAAATAGCTGGTTGTGGAAAGTTCTGCTGCATAATGTTGATTGCTAACATATAACAGATGCAAGTTTTGGGTCACAGTATAGTTTTTTAGGGCTAGGCTGGGGCCGGTTTGGTTTGCTTATGTCTGTGGTAAGATAAAAACTGGATCAAGGTTTTGAATTGTTTTCCACCCTTTAATGAAAATTCTATCGTGTAAAGTTCCTTGCTGTCATCTTTTGGTGTTAAATTGCCTTGCTGGTCTCCATTATTTGTATTGTTGCTAACACAACTTTGTTTCTTTCATAAGTGTAGTCTTGAAATGTTCTTTTGGGTAGTGTTCTTTTTGCTGTTCTCTCTTTTGTTAGTGTTCTTTTTGGTAGTTATTAAAAGTCTTGAAATGCTGGTTGATTTCAGGGCAAAACATGTCAACCATGTCAACTTTGCGAATTCCATCCCAATGCATGTTCAGACATGCACCCCAGAATCGTTTCACCAGTTCTATCGTTAAGTTATCATCTCCTCTTGGATCTGTGAAGAATATCTCCAAGGCCTTTGGCTTGAAAGCATCCTCCAACTTCCGAGCATCAATGGCAGTACACAAGGTCAAGCTGGTTGGACCAGACGGTGCGAAGTACGAGTTTGATGCTCCAGATGATGCATACATCTTAGATTCAGCTGAGAATGCAGGAGTTGAGTTGCCGTATTCTTGCAGGGCTGGGGCCTGCTCTACCTGTGCAGGGAAGCTGGTGGCAGGTTCAGTGGACCAGTCCGATGGCTCGTTCCTTGATGACAATCAAATGAAGGAGGGTTATGTGCTGACCTGTGTCGCGTACCCAACTTCAGATGCTGTGATTCACACTCACAAGGAAAGTGAGCTATATTAGGTGCTTTGCTGTTGGAATTGAGTAGAAAGTTTGGAAGTGTTGCTAGATTTATTATGCATCTCATGTTGTCAAGGCTCTCGTAGACCTTCTCTTTGTTCTATTTTGGTGGGGGTTTGTTGTGGAATGGCAGTGCATCTAGATGTTAATGGTTGCCGAATTGATTTCTGTAGGTGGCGCTTTAATTCAGTTCTTATTCAAGGGATAGATTCAAGACCTGTCCCAAAGCGTTTGTAGAAAAATTCACAAATTAAATTTGCTTCACATGGGAGGGAAATTCTTGCGCAATTTCGCTCCTTGTTTTCCCAAGGAAGAGCATTGACCCAGTTTTTTGCCAATTAATAGAACATGCCAGGTTGTACGATGGTCACTCTTTTAGGTCATGTTAAAAATCCCATATCAAAAATCTCTACCCATGTGGTAGTTTACTACTTTTGCTCTACCTGGTTATGGTAGTTTAACCATCTTCCCTCCTTTATGTGCCTCCCTGCTCTGCCCCCCTGCTTCCCCTTTCTTTACCTTCCCTTCTGACTTCTTGGTATCCCAAAATGACAAATGCACACCCAACTGCGGATTCTTTGGCCTCACGTTTGGAGGATTCTTTTGACCTAGACGACGTGCAAAGATAAATAATACTCGTGGGGGCGATCATTGTTGATGTGGTGCCAAACATTGGTGGGAACAAACCTTAGATCTGCATGGAGCAGCTTGGGAGCTCTCTCCATCTCCCACTACAAAAGGAACATCTTTACCATCTCTACCTCCATTGAAGTGGCTTCCCAGATTCTTGAGGGTGCTCCCTGGAACATCATTAATTATTGTTTTAATGTGGTGGCTTGGCCCCCCAAACTAACCATTGAAGAGGTCCCTGTACACTTTATCCCTTACTAGGTCCAAGTATCAGGTCTGACTTTGGAGAAGATGAATGCTACAAATGCCAAAATCATAGGGGAAGAAATTGGAGTAGTTCTTGAGGTGGAAAATCCAATTCTGGGGAAGGCTATAACAAGGGGTTTTCTCAGAGTCAAAGTTCTCATCGACGCACGGAAACCCTTCCCTACCGGCTTCTGGCTCCCCAGATCCGCTCACCAATCTTTCCATGTGGAGTATTGCTATGAAGGCCTTGGTGACTTCTGCTATGTTTGTGGGTTGCTGGGGCACTGTGAGAATGCTTGCAAGGGAAGTTCAGACAGCAGTCGAACTTTGTCGGAAAATTCGTGGATGAAACAACGCCTACCTTCTGTTTACCCCCTCTACCATTGGAGCAACTGAACCGTGCTGGCCGACAGAGACCCCCGTCCACACGAATCACGAGAAGTGATCATGCGACGACAACAAACCTGGTGGAGGCCACACTGCAACTGTTGACCACAAATCCTGAACGGCCTATGGAACAGTCCCTTTCACTTGATGGCAACAACACTGCCACTGTGCCCCCTATCATCGCTGTCACTGAGCAATCTGCCATCGTTTCTGCTACGCCTCCTGACATAACTGATGCAGCAACAAATGGCCACCTTAATGCCTACATTTTGAATAGGTTGTCGCCTCAAACCCTCGTGTCCCCTAGAACTGAGGAGCTGAGACAACGGTTTTTACTTGTTGGTTGCCCCAGCTCCAATGCCTACAAACGAGCTATGATTTTGGCGCTCACTTATAGGGGGTGGAACCCACCGACAAACCAGGCCTAATCCTCCAAATGCCAGCTAGAGCACAAGTCAGACCCAACCAATTGTCCTGAACTGACCCACAAGGCCTTATGTGTTTCTGGCCCATCATCTCGACACCCATGGGCTCAGATGGCTTTGCCCTTGACACAATCTCGTGAGATTTCTTGCGGCCCACTTGAGACGTCATGAAAAGGAAAGGGCCCAATGCACACGGACTTGGGTTGTCAACCTTTTATCTCTGCCCCTCCCGACTCCTACACTTTTCAACAAGCTGCCTTCCCACCAATCTCGACAAAAAGACGTGATGTCTCTCACCCTTACGAGGAGAGCCTTATGACATGCAAGGCGCGCATCCTGCATGACCATGATACTTTCGGTGCCAATTCCTATGGGTTGGTGGCTGTCCTAACTCAGGTCGGGGGTAATTGAAACCGAGGCCGGGGTTGAGTCAGAGGAAATAGAGGAAGGGGTCAACGTGCTAAAGGTAGAAGGGGGAGGTCATGTGGAGATGACTCTGCCCCCATGTTATGAACCTAAGTAATTTCAAGGAAATACGGGTGGAATTCGTTAAAGAGCTCCCTGTGGTCGACGGGGTGACTACTCCCCAGGTTTCGGAACCAAATGTGCAGGGGAAATCCCACCTCCAGGGTTATGGTGGCTGGCCCAATGTAACAACCCAGTCCTAAATAAACTTTTAATTATTAAGTTATTCAGATAAAAGATCATTTTGCCCTTGAAATATTTTATTAGGTTTAAAGTTGACTTTTTGACCGAGAAGGAATTTAGGAATTTAAACTATACCATTGTGTAAAGCACGGCGAGATGAGTCCGTAGACACGTAGTGGGTTCAAATCGGAGTTGTAAGAAAAAAGATACGATCAAAATACCCTCAGTGGCATAACCATAATTTTTTGTGAAAAGGGTTTGATAAAAATCTGAAAACCCTCATTTTTCTCTCTCCCTGCGCAGTCTCTCTCTCTCTGTGTGGTTTGCATGACACCCCTCTCCCCCGTACTGTTCACCGACGGCCATTTTTGGCCACCGCTGCTGCCATGGAGCACCATCGCCCACCAGACCGGTCAGGTTCGAACCGCCGTCACCCCAGCAGCCTTTCCCGACCCTTTTCGAAGTCAGCCACAGCCGGAATCCGTCGAAAAAAGCTGTGAAAAGTCGTTGATTTTTGATAGTTTTTCACCGGCTTCGTTCTTCGTCATCCGGCCACCGTTTCCGACGAGTGAGGCATGCTTTCTCACCTATTTTTCATGATCTAGTTGATGGTTGGATAGGATTGCATCAATTTTGAGCTTAGGTAGCTTGATTTCCGAATTGAATTTCGGCTGGTTTTGGGATCGCGATTCCGGCCACTTTCGGTCACTTTTTGGGGTACACCCAAGAACAAAAGTGACTCCAAATAGGGTTTTACACATAGGGTTTAGGAGTCTTGAGTCGTTTTGAGATTTCCCGGCGAAGTGTTATCGCTTTGGACACATACGCGCTACCAGCGCGTGTGGCGGCTCATGGGCACTGTAAAAAAATGGCATTGTGTCCCTATGAGTGTGCTCGGATTTCAATTTGGATACCGTTTGAGTATCGAACTGATTTTGCCTATTGTACGTCATTGAGGTTCGATAGGTTCGAACCGTTGGATCGACTCCATTCTAATATATGTTGATCTAGGTATTTCTAAGATCGTAAAGGGTTTCGCGGATCGTGAATCGGGGCCTCGGATGTTTCGATTCAATAACTTAAAGTTTGTGTTTTATAATGACTGTCCGATCGTGCGATTGTAAGCGATCCGACCATTTGATCAGGACCAAACTTGCAGGACGTGTATCCAAGAACTTGTGGAACCCTTAGAAACTTTCGGATCATAAAACGGATGTGGTGGGCCCTACAGGCCCGGTCGACCAAGTTTGGATAGATTAACCCCTCGGTTGACCGTGAGTCTTTCAAAGTAGTTTCACCCTTCGAAAAGTAAGTAGGATAACCTTGTAAATGAGTCTTAATTGTTATTTGAGTTTAAATTGGAAATTGGTTCGATATGGGATTTCCTTTAAAGGTTGTTGCTTATCATTAATTAATATTATTTGATTAAATTATGTTGCATTCTACTATAGACTTGTATCGCTAAATTGTGATTATCTCTATTATTATTGTGATATTTGAGACTTATAATTATTCGGAATACGGATTGTATATGTTGAGTACCATCCCTCAGATACTAGATACTTCCCATACGTGGCGTGCGTTTTTCCGGTGTATGGGAAGATTATGTGATTATTAGGTCTCATACGTGGCGTTGAAATTTCCGGCATATGAGACACTTTCCATACGTGACGTTGGATTTTCCGGCATATGAGAAGATTATGTGATTATTCGGTCTCATACGTAGCGTTGGAATTTTCGGCGTGTGAGACACTTCCCATATGTTGCGTTGGATTTTCCAGCATATGGGAAGAATATATGATTATTAGGTCTTACACACGGGTTTGAATTTCCGGAGTGTGAAACTTCCCATACGTGGTGTTGGATTTTCTGTTGTATGGGAAAAATATGTGATTATTTAGTCTCACATGTGGCATTGGAATTTCCGGCGTGTGAGACACTTCCCATACGCGGCGTTGGATTTTCCGGATGGGAAGAATATGTGATTATTTAGTCTCACACGTGGCGTTGGAATTTCCGGCATATGGGAGAATATGAATAAAGGTTTATGTTTGGTATGAGGTGGTTTTAAGAAAAAGGAAAAGAAAGGATAATACTATAATGTACTACTTTGTATCGCTGTAATGGTTTGTACGTTATTAGAACCGGGGTTCTGTTAAAAGAACTACGTGTGGCTTGATCCCTCAGTAAGGGTACGTAGGTAGCCTGGGGTCCCACCCAGGCGTAGTCGCAGACTAAATTTTATTTATGTTGTTTTATTGAGATTGGTTTTGACCTTGTCGTTGGTCTTGAAATTTGGTTGAAAACTAGATGCGATTAAATAATTGTTCATACTCTCGTTTGGCTGAGCGAGGATTGTGTGAATGTGTTCTGGTCAAAATAGGTATAAAACTCGTTTTGGATTCTTGTACAATTTGGGCTGAGGCCTTAAACTACTTGCGATTGTGTTTGGAGGTTAAAACCTCGTATGTTGGATATTTGGGAAGTTAGATGATATAAATTGCATTTTGCATTCATAATTATGTTTGAGTTTATTATTTGTCTTGTTTAAGGTATTATTTGACTTAAGAGCTTTGTTGGTAGTTTTGTTTCAGATTACTTGAAGGTCGGAGGCCAATTATGTGAATTGCATGAAATTATCTTGTGCATGCTGCCAGTTGGTGATATTAAATGTGTTTTATGCAGGTTGAAATGTTTTGGGATTATTCAATTTACAGGGGAGACTCTGCCAAAATTTTGGTAGAAAGTCTCGGTCTTTAGTAAGTGGACCCAGCATCGGTGTGATGTTGGAATTTCCACAGGATTCGTCTCGGGTTCTGAGGAATTAGAGGTGGGTCCTGCCACCCAAGGCAGCCACAAGTCCTCAATGAGCCATCTCTCTTGGAATTGTCGAGGCTTGGGGCGTGCTCTGACAATCCAAAAACTACG